AAAAATACAAATAGAAAATGCGAGGTATTGAGGGGTATCAGTAGGGGGTTTGGCGGTGGGAGGAGCTCAGACGGTCACGTCCCAACAGGTTTATTTTGTTCATAGTGAAAGGTAAGGACTCTCTCTTAAGCTGTTGAACTGGCTGGTATAAACACTCTGCTATCAGATTTTTGTCATGCTTCAACATTCAGGATTTTGTTTGCTGTATCAGCCACACTCATGTTTTAGTTCTGTTTTATGGCTCCGAGAGGTTGTGTCATTTCTCCAGACAACTTTGGTTTGATTTGTGCTGAATACACTGTTAAAAGTCAACAAAGGAACATAAGGGATTTTGCGAATAAAGTTTATTTTGCTTACTTTAAGATGAAACTTTGGGATCGAGACAAAACACCCTGATTTTTTGCAAAAAAACAAACATTTTTGGATTCAGCACCCTAAAAATATCCCATTCTCGCGTACAGAGCAAAGGGGAATATGCAATCATATAGAGAAAATGACACATATGCACTTTGTTAGTTATAACATGAAAGGAATTAATAACCTGATTAAGAGAACAAATTTCCTGGGACAGTCACAGAGACTGCAGTGCTCTGCAGCTTTGATTCTAGAAACCGACCTGAGACAGAACATCATGTAAGGCAAAAAGGGACCCCAGACCTGATTAAAGATATCTCTCCCCTTAACTCTGTACATGACCTGTTCATATCAACAAGAGTTAGATGATGCAGTATTATCCTGCAACCTGTCATAACAGCCAGATGCACCCAGAGCCTCTGTCTTCTAGAAAGATTCATGCTGTCAGGTAACAGACCCAGGACACACAAAGCTGGAGACTTAGAGAGATTAAGATGAAAAAGATCATTCATAAGGTTAACATGTATTTTCCACATGCATACAGCATATGAACTGACATCCTGGCTTCTTTCTGACATTTCCAGCAGGTTCTGGAATAACTCCTGGATACTAGATGGAGGGTCTGGGTTAGTCTTCAGATTAGATCAAGGTCCAGATCCCCCAGCTGATGAATTCCTGCCCTAGCACACGCATCCCACTTGAACGCTTTCTTACCAATAAATACTTTCTTGTTATACCAGACAGAGGTGAGAGAGGTGAGAGAGGGATTAGTGTTGATGAACTGGTGAGCTCTAAACTAAGTCTCTTGTACAAAAGCCAAAAACTGGACCTTTAAGGCCTCTAAAGGTGTAGGAGCCACTAAGCTTTCATCAGTCGCCACCTATGACGGCAGGAGAGTTATTCATCTTAACTAACTGAGAGATAGTGGCATAGTATCCATTTTCTATCTCTGATAGCATATATGTTGAACTGATTGAAGGATGGCTTTCTGCCTGCCAACATATAACCCTCCACACAAGCCGTCGAGTTGCCAACAATATAAGGAAAGCTCTAAATTTACAAATCACCTTTAATGTTTCTTAGCTTGGATGCTGAGAAACATTCGACTGAGTGGGTTGGGTATTCCCGGAACAAACACTGATAACAATGGTATTTGGAGAAACATTTGCTACATGGATCAACACTCTCTATATAAAGATCGTAGGGGGGGTCAAAGGTCACAAGTTAACGGATGCTACTCTGATTTCATCAAGTATATAAAGACATCGCTGGGATCACATATGTTTACCTCACTGTCTGAAATAGTCTAATACAAACATCTGAAACTGCAACGTTATATGGGACAGAACAGAAGTTAAAAGAAAAAGCGTCTGTTTAAAGGCAGACAAAGCTGAGGTCTAATGTTGTGATGAGTACCTGTGGTGGAGTCGGCTGTGACAGCGCTGTCGGGGCCCAGTGTACAGGTCGGTCTCGGTGTAAGATCTTTGTCCTCTGTGCTGGGAGTCAAAGAGCTGAAGGCTGGCAGTGAGGCCGTAGACGGACTGAAGACACTGCTCTTTCTGCCTCCCTGAGAAACACCATCAAACATGTTACCAAATACAAATACACATTACTGCATGTGACAAGGCTGATGTGCATGGGAATGTTGCTCCCATGGTTTCATACTGAACACATTTCTGCATGTTCAGCAGATGGAATAATGCCTCTGTGGTGAGTCATGGTGTTTCCTCCCTTCTCCACTGGCATTAGAGGGTGTTCCCAGGACCTCAGCTGTCGAGGGCATTTTACCCCTGCTACAACTGGACCAGACGAAACCCCATGAGAGGTGCAGCCAATGCTAGGGAGGAGGGGGGTAGTCAAGGGTGAGTGCCTGGTGGCTGGGCCTCAGCCAATGGTGCCTGGCCAGCAGCAGCCCAAAGGAAGCCTGCACTCCTTTGGATCCACCACCTGCAGGAGGCGGCCAGAGGGATTCAGTGGCAAATGGATTGGGCAGTGGTCAACTCCTTGGGGGAAAGTTTCTTAAGGTTTAGGATGGCTTAAGGAGCCATCCTAGTTGATACAACTGAGAAGGTGCCTCTGGATTGGGAGATTAGGGCACCCTAGGAGCCTCTTGGCCCCCAGCATCCCTGTGAAGGTCTGTGCTAGGGTACAGGAAAGAAGAGTCCAGCAGTTAATGCAATCTTGGATCCAGAAAGAATAAAGCAATTTTTACCCTGGTCATGGAAGGCTGCACCAAATCCTTATTCTCCTGAGGACATTCAAGTTTCCCCAAACACTCAACATATGTTTTTGGACTTAAATTAGGCATTCAAGGCCTCCCTTGAAGTGTCCTATTATAGTGTTGATAATTATCAGATTTGGAATGAAAATAATGAAGAAGCCACTTTGTCTTTGACACACTAGATCCTGCTGGACTGGAACTGAACTGTTGCTAGACAAGCAACAATAAGTTTGGACTCACACATGGTTTGATCACTCAGAGACATTCCTGAGCATTTACAGAGTCAGTACATGGGAGTAGGTTTAGCTGGCTAAGTAAGCCTTCTTTGCTCTTTATCTCCTTTACATCTATGGCAAATTTAGAACTGCCAGTTAATCTAACGTGCATGTATTTACACTGGGACGAAGCCAGTTACCCAGCGAAACCCCAAGAGGCAGGAGGAGAGCGCACTAGTGCCACACAGAAAGGCCCCAGGTGGGGTCTGAACAAGAGTTACCCACTGTAAAACCACGCCACCTAGAGGCTGGTTGGAACAAATGACCTGTACTGTACTGAGGCAAACGTAGAATTTGAGGAAGGCTAATTTAATTTTAAAGTTAGTAGAACGCACAGGCAGGAAACTGATGGAAAGTCATAATTAAAGCTTTCTGCACAATTTTCATCTTCCATTAAAACACTTATGCTACTTTGCATTTTTAAGCATTTTTTGTAATCTTCAGGTGTACACATATTAAACTAGTATGGAAGAGTAGAAACTTCACATACTACAAAAGTATTCGCTCATCTGCCTTCACACGCATATCGACTTGAAGCCAATTGATTCTATACAAGTTGGAACAGCTGAATTTGATGATCTGGACAGGTGAGTGAATACCTTTAGCAACATATAAACTAGTATATAAAAGTTGAAGATACACACAGACACAGTATATATGAACAACTCTAGAGTGACCGAATTGTGACAGAGATTTTGTTTATGGTAGAATGATTCACTCACATCAGCACATGGCACTCTCTTGATGGTTAAACTCCTGAAAGACAAAGGAGCAACAATGGTCATGCTCTAGAAGACAAAGACGTCTTATAATGAAATCCACATCAAGCATAATAGAAACAAGCCGGACATAAAGGCAGGTGCTGGAGATGCTGAGGGTTGGCTAAGAGCAGGACATGAACAAAAATCTGAAGGAAACATTACAACAAAGCAAGCAAACACCAGACGTTCACTGAGGCGGTGCTGGTGTGGAAACCTTTTAGAATGAAACACTATGCAGGAGGTAACAGCTCCCCTCCTATATCCAACGACATCATGGATAAAAAGAAGAAATAGAAGAAAAAAAAAACCCTGCACTGTCCAAAATCTAGTCAGTTTTCCACATAATGTGAGGGAATCAGCACAAGCACCACATCAGTGACAAGTAACACAAACCCAAAGAAGTTAACAAAACAAAACACGTACATTTGTGCTAAATCAAACGTGCTCCCAAACTCCAGTTCATGGAGGTTGGGATTAGATCAGATTGAACACAAACCTGCTGATTATACCCAACACACAGACAATGGTTGATTTTCACATCAAGAATAATTCCATGACAAGCAGCTTATTTCAGGTGAATTCAGGTGGGATGGGGAGACATTGGTGTTAGGAAAGGCTAGAGTTAATGGACATGGCCTACCTCAGCTCGAGAGCTTGCTCCACACATTCCAACAGGCTCCTGCAACACGAACACCTGATGTTTATCTGACTACAGGCCTGAATGGCCCAAGAAGGAATTAACCCAAGGTTTGATCACTGTCTATCATTTCAAACTCAGGCTTAGAGCACTCGTTTTTGTGCCAAGGGTTATTTCCAGTTGACCTACCATCAAACACAACTCACCCAGTTATATGCTTGAAGAGTTGCAGCAGGGATTATATACAGTTGTGGTTAAACGTTTATAAAGCCTTTTAATGGACTTTTAATGATTTATTTTCTTTAATGACTTAAAAAAAAACAAGATCTGGGTGTACAAGTTTGAATTTAATTTGAATTTTTGCAGATCCACACAGAGTCAAAAGTTTGGACACATCTTCTCATTTGATGTTTTTCCTTTATTTTTACGACTTTCTACACTGATGTTTTCAGTTTGTAACTACAAATATACGAAGCAAGATATATGGAATTATGTCGCGAAGAAAAAACTGATAAATAATTCTAAATACATCTTATATTTTCAAAGTAGACTTTGCTTTGTTGACAATGCTGCAAACGCTTGGCCTTCTCTCAATGAGCTTCATGATGTAGATGCCTGAAACATCATGTTGATGCACGCTCAATCATCCAGCTAAGGAAATCCACAAAGGTTGATTCTGTTCATCTGGAGTTTTCAGTGGGAGAAACGTTTCGTCACGCATCCAGGTGACTTCTTCAGTCTCAGCTGACTGCAGGTTTCCAATCTTATAAACAGTACATTTGCACAATGACTGAAACCAGCCCACTGAAGGAACAACAACCACTGATCAGTGGCCACGAGTACCATTCACAGAGAGCCTGTGACCTGTGGTATGAGGGTCAGTAGCTTTGTCTTGTTCTAACTGCTTCAGACAGTCTGTCCCCCTCTTACTGTAAACACTTCCTGGGTCTCGTTTCAGGGGCTCGTGATCAGTTCGACTAGCGGGATGGATGTTTTTCTCCGCTTGGGTGAGCTGTTTGTCAGACAAATTCTTCACCCACTCACTGGACTGACCAACACTCAGAACAATGTGGAAGTCCAAGGAACTCAGTCAAGATCTAAGAAGGAGAATTGTAGGTTTATGCAAATTGTCAGGGTCTCTGCAGATTCAAAGGTCATCAGTTCAAACTTGTACATTAGTACAAGTTATACCACTTTGGGTTTTCTTCCAGACTTTGACAAACACCCTTGGATGACAGGAAATGAGCCGGGGCGTTAAAGAACAACCCACAAATCACCAAGGTTCAAGACTCAAGACTGGCATGGACCAGAAACTGCTCAACACCAGCATCACTGTCAACAATGAAGACAGTTTTACATCACCATAGCCTGAGAGGGTGCTAACCAAGCAAGAAGCTCCTGCTCCAAAATCGACACAAGCTTGAGGGAAATTTGCAGCTGCCCACACGAACAAGCCAAACGCCTTCTAGAGAAAGGTAGTTTGGTATGTGTGGAGGAGTAAAGGTGAGCCTTTCAAACCTGAGAACACTGTCAAGCGTAGTGGTGATAGCATCATGCTTTGGGGCTGTTTTGCTGCCGGTGGTAATGGTAGGCTACACAAAGTGGGACACTGCAGGACATTGATCCCAAACACACATCAACATACATCACTGGTTCTAGAATGGATAAAACAAACATGAAGCTTATGAAATCACCTTTCCAAAGCTCTGACCTCAACTGAGGTCGGGTCTGTACCAGGAAACCAACCAATTTACCAAGTTTTCCAAGCACAATGGTTCGATAGAACTACACCAGAAGCTTGTTGATGACTACCAACAGTGTCCAGTCACAACTTGTTAAGAAATATTTAAACAAAACTGCATATGCAGCCAGCATATATACTTTGACTCTATGTGGATTAGTGAAAATCAAAACTTTATTTAAAGTTTGGTGTTTTTTTAAGTCATTAAAGATGTTGTTGTGTTGATTAAAGCCCAGAGTGGACGTAAACATCTGATCACAACTGTAAACGATTCCTTTGTGCACATGTCATCATTTTAAAAACAAAATAAAAGAAATTAAATAGAATATGCAACCATCTTTTTTTCATAAATATACACTTATTGGCCACTTTATTAGGTACACTTGTGGGTACACTCGATTTTTGCCGGTCGTTGCTCATTAATGCAAACATCTGTTGGACTTGAAGTTCAAACTGAGCATCAGGAAGAGAAGTGACGTGTGAGACGAGTGTACCCATTTTCTGACAGCTGCTTCAGCAGGATAACGGTCTTAAAAATGACAGCGAGTTCACTGTGCTCCGCGGTCAAAGGTCTCAGTGCAATCCTGGATGTGCAGCAGCAGTGCATGCAATGCCATCATGTCAGTTTGAACCGAAGTCTCTAAGGAATGTTTTCAGCACCTTGTTGAATCTTTAGCATGAAGGCAAAAGGGTCCAACACAGCACTACCAACGTGTACGTGATAAAGGGGCCAATAGTATAGTCTCCATTATTTTAACTGGCACCTGGAAGTATCCAGACATACAGAGCATTACTTCATTATCACAATCTGTGAATAACGCAGTTAGATTGGATCAGCTGGAGGGCAGAGGCACAAACTAACTAAACAGAGTCTGCAGTTGATTCGTGTTTTGTTTATTGTTTGTTTATTCATCCACTCTTACTGCAAACAGTTAACTTATGCAGTTAGAATAAATCATACTAAATTTCTTTTTGTTTATTTGTTTTTACTACAGGTTACTCCTCATTGCTCTGGGAGGACACTCTGTTCTGTTGGTACCTGCAGTAATACTGTTCTCATACTGTATGGATAAGCTGGCATTCTGGCCACATAGGAACCACACGTCTACTTTTATGAGTTATGATTTATGGTGCTACATCCTGGAAAAAAATACCGAAATCACTCCATGTTGGCTGAACAAAGCAAACACCTGCTAAAATAATTCATGCAAAGTTTTTTCTAAACTTATACATGCTACCCATCAGTTGGATTTTGTAAATAAAAACAAAACAAACAACAATATAAAAATCCAGATAAGTTAGCCTAGCCCAGTCTACAAATGACTGATGCAGCTACCTGCTACCTGACAGAGTAACAATCAACCACAGCAGAACACAACTTCCCTCCAGCTGATCCAATCTAGCAACTTTTTAAATGCACCTTGTTATATTATAGTGTGCAGTGTGCCAATGTGACATCTCAACAGCCAAAAGCAACGATATTTAATAAGCAACTGAAGAAAGATGAAACAAAGGTCTTACGGTGAGCCTCCTTCATCTCCAGACAGACTCCAGTCATCATAACAGGCCTGCAGAAAGGAAAACCCAAACACAACCTTTGGTCAAATCCGCGTGTTGTCATGGACTGAATGCCATCAGTATACCTGCAGGAAACATGCATTACCAAGTCAGGATAAGGCTCTGTCACTTTCCTCAGCGGAGGCCCAAACTTCACCTGGTCAACTGCAAAAAGAACACAACACTGGGCTTAGCACGCTAACAAAGGCAGACCAACACATTCACACACAATCCTGGTACTTTCACAGTGTTTACGGTGCACCGATTCCCATCGGTGTGCACTCCAGAGATAACCTGTGACATCAGCAGTGAACAAGGGCCGAGTGAAGTCTGCAGACCTGACCCCACACATCAGGTGAGCACAGATATCAGAGAATAACTACATTTTTACTCGATGAGAAAGTGTCATTGAGAAGAGACGTCTGAACACAATAAACAAGGTACCATCAAAATCATCTGGAAGAATCAAAAGGTTTATAAGCATTTAGGGGCTGATAAATCGTAGCTACTGGTTTCAAATGAGAGACAAGATGACAGCTAGTTTAGAAGCTCCCACAGTAAAGCTTTTTAAAATGACATTAGATGGCTTATTCTACCTGTAGTATATCAGAGTATGACATTTGTCATTAATGTTAAAGCCTGGAACACGCCTGTGTGTGGGGAGTGACAGCTGACATGCATCACAGTACCGCTGGAAGAAGACACGCCTCCTTCAATTCAATAGAAGTATTTGTATTCCTAAGCATGTGTGTGTGTCTTAATGCTCAGTCAAAGTGACACTTTTGATTGCAGGTCAGGCAAAGTTACAAATCGAATGAACATATGCTTGAATTGGAATGTATCAAATGTACACTGATATTGAGTCAGGGCCCAAACAGGGATGGAGCTGGGTGCAAAAAACAGCATCACCAGTCAAAGAAATTTAAAAATTAAAAAGAAAAAAAAAATCACACTGAAATTATGATAAGAAATAGAAATGTGAGGTAAAAAGAAAAGGTTTCACTGTTGGTATTCAGTCAGTTTTAGGGTGTTAGCAATTTAAACTAAAAGTCCAAGATGATAGGAATACCAACAGCCAGGTAATAAGACAAATAAGAACAGGGCACAAAATGCGACCAAGGAGTATTTATAACATCAGTTTAGGCAATTCCTTGCACTGCTTTCTTGAGGCAACAAGTCAAAACATCAAGTAATGGCTCGATATGCATCAAATCTCACCACTAGATGTCATTAGACTGCAGTTAACTGGATTCTGTCTTTTTACATCTCCCAATTCAAGTGGAGAATCTCAGCTACTACTGCTGTACATGTAGTACACAGTACTGTGATGTCATTACTGTACAGGATGAAACAAGGTTAAAACACTGGTTTCCATAGTAATCAGATAGTTAGTTAGCAGTGCTTTCTTTTAAGATCGTTTAAACTAGTCATTAGTTTGTTTGTAAAGAAATTAGAAATTGCACACATGTGGCAGCATGCAATGTCTTCGACTAAGATCTGCAGAACAGCTTTTATTAGCATCTTGCCTCAGTTTCTCTAATGACTTCACTGTGATGTGAAAGGAGGAAGCACAGCGATCACATGATCATTTCGCTTTGAAGCAGGAGATGAGGAAATGACTAAACCAGAAAGCAGAAGCTGCTGCTGCGTTTCGGCTCAGTTACTTTGCAAGGTGTTGCTGAACGCCTGCAAGTGAATTTGAATAAGAAGTCCAAAGTTTTTCTGTTTGAAATGGGATCAAAGGAGCGGTCTACAAAGATGCTCTCAACATTTCAAAAGTTAATCTTCTGATTCAATCACCTCAACAAAGTGAATACTTTGGAAACTATTTTGCCCAGCAGTCATCGGTTGCTCATGTCACAGTTATGGTTAGTCATGTTACTGCATGAAGATCATCGTGCAGAAACATGCAGCAGAACACCAACACCTTACTGTTGCAGAGCAGGGCTTGGTGAAGGCTAATTACTGCATTTTCAAGTAATTATTTGTATTGAGTAATGCAGCAGAAGCTCAGCAAAGGACGACAGCAACAAGAAGATGATGGACAAAGGTGAGAAAGCTGGTTTTCAGGCTCGTCAGTTGTAAAAACGTTAGAAACTGCACATTTATCGAGACAACTTCCATCCAAATATGCAAAAGCTGGAGGGACACAGCTTCAGTAAGACTGAATGACCTTCCTATACTTCCCCAGACTCATGTACATGAACTGGCTGTGCTAAATAAAACAGTAATCTTGTTTCTGCTACTATTTAATCAATACTAAAAGCATAGAGGCGTAACACACAGACCATGGCACTAACAATATACATTGTATCAGTGTTGACAATGACAGATACAGTATATGATACATTGTAGCACCTGTGTAAGCCTCTAAAACCATACTGGTCAAAGGGCAGTGCAGGTGTTTGTGGCTTACGGGGCTGTGTCTAGCACACTAGACTACACTAATAAGGGAAGTTGAGGTCAACACCAGACTGATTTATGATTTGGTGTGTGAATACAGTCTGTCACACCAGGAACACAAGCAGCCCATTGGCATCTGAGCAGTATGAAGTCAGACAGCAGGCATGTTCCCAGCGCCATCCTCTGACGAGGCCTCCGTCCCACACGTGTGGATGGTTACAGAGCGAGAGCAGCAGTCAGCACGCTCACTGAGGGGCTTTTGTTTCTATTCATATTCTACAAGCTGCTTCGCTGAATACAATGGGACAATGAAACCACTCTCCCAGTACAACCGACATATATTATATGTACACATATGTACACACAGGCACACATTCAGCCATCAAGTGCACTGCACGGTGTAGTGCATCAGAGACAAGCTGCAGGGTTTTTATTCCCTTTGTTCCATTCTAGCACAAAGCCGGTGACCTCACTGTGACGACGAGACGCCAGGAATCTCATCCTGCTATGTTTAAGGAACCACCCACTGTGTGCCGTGTGTGTGGAAGGGGCGGGACTCACATTGTTGTTCAGACGGTGTCCTTTCCACAGGCAGGTGTTTCCCTGCTGACTGAATCTTGTCAGGAGCCATTACCCCAACCTGTCAAGACAGCAAAAACCGTACAGACACAAATCACTGCGGAAACAAGTCAATCCCAGCTTTTCCGAAGGAAGAGCATTTCTGTAAGTTCACCTCTGTACATCATCACAGTGGACTTGGAATCAAACAATCAAGATGTGATTAAAGTGCAGATTTTCAGTCCCCATCTTCAGAGGCTCACAGTGACTGTTTGGATGTTCTTGGATGAACTTTAGACTAAATGCAGGTTTCCTCCCTTCAGTGCTGGTTTGCTGGTCACTCTCTACGTGCAGTTTTGTTTTCAGTCACTGACAAGCACGCTCTGTGGGTCTGATATCAGGTGACTGACTTGACCATTGGAAATTGAGAATTCTTGGGTTTAGCAGTTTGCTCGCTGTTATGTGCACAGTGAAGCTCTGTCTGGTTAGTTTTGCAGCGTGAGGTTATCGCCCTGTGCACTCCTGAATTCATCCAGCAGTCACATCATCAATAAACTCTACTGACCTGGCTTCACTGGCAGCCATGCATGCAACCGATCTCCTTCTCTATACTTTTGTCTTCTCGTTGTTCTGGTACAAGTTCATCTTTCCAGACTGGACATGCTCCAAAGGTGTTTTCAGTCAAAGTCTAATATGGCCTTCATGTTCCTGAGTGTAACCAGTGGATTGCACCTTGTTGTAAACTCTGTATTTCCATTTGTGAAGGCTTCTCTTGAAAACAATATTAAGACGACCTCAATCGATAGTGTTCTTGCAGAGTGTAGGTTTCCTTTTACCAAAGTACCAGATTGTTGATTTCCAGAGAAAAAGAACCCAAATGATCCATGTTGAAAGCTCCAGATATTTAGTCCGTTTAACTCCTTGTGAAATAGAGCGGAAACACGAGTGTTCAGTCACTTTTAAGCATCTGAAATGGAACACCATGTTTAGAAAAGACACTAACCCTAAACAGGTAACACACTACTCGAATGAAGCTGCACGTTGATAACATCTTAATTGTTTGGTTTCAAATCCACAGTGTACAAAATCAAATGTCCTTATCCAGTGAGTTTAGCTACGCTGTGAGAACTGACCTCCAGCTCAATGTCATCCATGGTGTTTGTGTGGGGAGTGTGGAGCTCGGGGTTGTTGGCCATGTCCAGCAGCTCAATGATCAAGTTACGGGTCAACAGCTGTGTCACAAACGGATGCTAAAGAAAGAAGGCACACACCTTAAACGGGAAATGATGGCGCTAATCTCAGGTCTCTCTTTCGCTTTGTTTTTGTCTTACAGTACAAAGAAAATAAAGTTTCTTATGTCTGATGCGCAGCAACAAGTGAAAGAGAGCAACATTTTACATAACACTGGCTCTGCTCTTTGACCACTGCAAACCTGCGGTCGACTTTCGACATTTCAGAAATCTCTTGCCTGAAGAAGCCTGAAGCTCTAGAGTCCATATTCGAACCCTTCATGGCTGTGACATTGACACTGTTAATTGTTACAAATACTTAAGATTGCTCAGCTCACTGAGAAACACATGGAGGACATGGAAAATAAAAGACTAAGACATTATGTTTCTGTGTGCAAATAATGTAACAATGTAACAAATGCAAAAATGCAAATAATGTAACAATGTAACTAGATTTTTAGAAATGCGGTATTAAAGCTCTTACTCTGTTTAACAGCACTTGGGAGATACATTTAAAAAAATGACATTTTCATAAATCTGTCCACTTCTGTATTATTTCTAAACTGACTATGAGGTCCAATCAAAAAGCAGGACGTATGCGACTGTGTATGAAAGAAATTAAAGGCATAACACAAACGGTATGAGCATGTTTGCAGGTGAATGTTGTAAAAAGTACTTTGATAACAGCTGATAGCAGCCAGTCTCATTGCAAAACATGCCACATAGAAAAAAAAAACCCAATTAGCTATAAATGTAATTTTGGGGTACTGTGGCCATACAGCAAGAAGGTCCTGGGCTCAGATCAGCTGGTGGCCTTTCTGTGTCTGGGTACTCCAGCTTCCTTCCTGTCCTGGGTGCACCCCACCTCCCATTCCCCACAGCCCTTAACTGGATGGAGATGGACAGAACTATATCTCCACCAGCAGAGCAAGCGACCCACGCACTGAGGGCTCAGATGTTTTTGATCGTACATCATTTGATATCTGCTGATTTGACAGCTCTGTAATATTTGTAGCAAAATGTGACATTTAGATTTTGTGTAATATCACATGTTCATCAGCATGTGAAATTTTACTGAATAGCTCCCAGTATAAACTGTACAAATGCAATGCAATCATTTCCAGTCGCTCTCGTAACAGCCAGCCTCGGCCAACCACCTCCCTTTGTGCTAATGTTACAAACAGAAGAGAAAGATGTGCTTACAGCTACTGTACACACAACAGTGCCAGTGTGAAGACGGACGGTTGGTTTGTTTTTCCTTGTTTAGTGACAAACTAACCTGCAGCAGTGTCTCAGCTGAGGGCCGCTTACGAGTGCTTTTAATGAGAGACATCTTCACAAAGCTATGGAAGCCAGCAGACCTGCAGACAGAGGAAGACAAAGATACATGTATCAGCAGTGAGGAAGATACTGATCAGATCACAGGTGCTTATGCACTTGAATTTCAGACCATCAGCAGCACATTTACCACTTGGCTTTGTCCTTAAGTTTTGGAGGCTGGAAGCTGCTCTTGGACATCAGCATCAGCGCTCTGAAAAACAGTGTGAGAGACGTCACTGGACTGGAAAATGTCCAAGCAGCAATCACCCAGAGTCTGCCAAGTCTGTCTGTCTCCAACTGTTTGTCCAGTCCCCATTGTTTATGCTGACTCACCTCATTGGGTGCAGGTCAAACATGGGCGGCTGCAGCTCTGCCAGCTCGATGGCAGTGATGCCGACGGCCCAGATATCACACAGGTGGTTATAGCCACCCTTCTTCTCCACCGCAGCCACCTCTGGAGCCATCCTGCTCAGAGAGGAAGAGTTAGTGGGCCTGATTCGCAAACAGGTGTGTCCAGGAGTCAACCACTCATTAACTTTCAATGACAAATCTGTGAAACATCAATATTTGAAGATGGCAGCTGACTGCGAGCGGTCTGTGGCTTTGTTAGAAACTTGATCCTTGAAGTGATCAGGTATCGTTGCAATAACTGTAGCAGTGCTTCACCTAAAGATAAATATGTTTACCTATATGGAGAAAGACAGGTCGTGTGTTTTTTATCACTTTATTGTAAATCGAACTAAAACAAATCTGTCCTTTGCACATTTTCTTTCATAGACTTTGGTTTAGTAGATGCTTTCTGAGGGTTAGTCGGCAACTCATAGACTGACAGACATAGACATGCCATGAAAGTACGAGCACAGGAAAGCTCATCCCAGCACACACACGGGACTGATACTCCTCCTCCATTCTGCGGCTGCTGATGCAAGCCCGCTCTTATGAGGCGGATCGATTTGTCTGGTTAATTCTGATAACGTATGAGGTTAAAAACCCTAACCTTAAACAGGCTGATATATTGAACCGAGGCTATAAAACAGACACGAATTCAGCTAAAGTGAAAGCAGAACACTTAACTGATACTGTGACACAAAAGCACAATAGATGAACCTACAGCTGAGCATAAAGACAAAGAGCGCTGGCAGCATACCAAGCTCACAGTGATAGCAGCACTGTAGAAAAACAGAGAGGTCTGTGTCACCATCGACAGACAGACACTGTTTGCTCAGGGTTTGGTAAGGTTAGGTTTAGTGGTGATATATTCATCTTACCAGTAAGGAGTTCCAATAAATGACTTCCTCTTGGCCACAGAGGCACTGATCTCTGCTGCGATTCCAAAATCAGCTGGACACAGAGGAGAGACGCAGGGTCACAGCGCAGCTAAAATCCAACATCGTGCTTACCTAAGCCTGCATAAGTACTGCAAATCACACTGACCCAGTTTCACATCTCCACGCTCGGTCAAAAGGATATTGGCTCCCTGCAAAGACAATAAAGATCCAAGCTTGTTCACAGGATGATCCACAGTCTGAGCGTCACTATTAAACAGTAACAACTAAACAGCTGTACCTTTATGTCCCTGTGCATTTTGCCAGTTTCGTGCAAGTGATACAGGCCCTGGAAAAGATGGAAATCAGCCGATTACTGTGAGAATGTATTTAATTACTGCTTAAGTCATGGTTTACAACACTGAACTAGGAAGAGAGAGAAAACATACAGCTGAACTGACTGACTAACAGTCTCCAGGGGTGGCAGAGCGCAGCCAATGATTTGGGCGGTGTTAATGACCCACTGCACAGCACTCCACCCAGGCAGTAGGAGAGCATGCTGTCCCATCTTCATCTAGTCTTGCATGAATCAGGAACAATATCTCTATGTTTCCTTAGTTTGATTTTTGTAACCTTTACGTGCTTTGAATGCAGACTCACTGATCGTGTACAGCACTGGTGAAAGTTTTGGAAGCACTTTTTCTGGTGTTTTTTGCTGTCAGTCTGCAAAGCTGATCATCCAACAAAGCTTTGAGTGGGCAGAAGGTCACGGTCTATGAAAACACAGTGTGCCGTATGGCTGCTGTGGCTCAAGAGGTCAGGTGGGTTTTCCAGCACCACCAGAATGTTGGCAGCTCCTCCCACCTGCGTATCCACCCGCCCCTGGTAAAGACACTGAACCGCATCCTACGCATTTATTGCGGTGAGCATGTGTGTGTGATTGTTTAAAAGGAATTAAAGGAATAAAATGAACTGCAGTGTGAGTACAACTGTATATAGGTGAAAGGGACTTGTAGCACTTCGTTAGAAAGAAAAGAGCTATATCAGGACCAGACCATTTATCATGTTCTACTGCAGAGGCAGTTTCAGAACATCTACAATGCACTTAGTGGTCTGGCACGACTGGAGCTGCTCTGAAGTTGGGAAAAAACACATGACTCATTGTGTCAGCAGGGTGTCTGTAAAGACTTTGCAGTGCAACAGTAACAAGCTTCCTGGACTGAAAAGCCTTACCTGGAGAGTTTCCCTGCACACAAATGCTATCTGCTTCTCCTTCAGTGGACCCGTCACTGTGGAAAAGAGTCTGATTAACAGCTGTGAGACATGAGAGTAAGAGTGGATCATTGTGCCTACTTCCACATCTGCTTTATACCAACTATTCAAATGACTGAGCGTTAAAGTGGTAGTTACAGTTGGACATGCTGGGAAATGCTTCAGCTGCCTCACTCAGACTCATCGGGTGGAAACAGTACTCATATAGTTATGTTTAAACAGCTCCACTATGGTCGTATTCATCCTTATTGGCTCATTTGGAAAGTGTAACGACAGAAAGAAATGCAACATATAGCTTTAGTTTGTGATTTTAGCTTTTTAGTTGTTTCTTGCTTTGCAGTGCCTAAAAATAATTCCTGGTCCTGAGAAGGAAACATTTCCTCTTATTCCTCTCTCTTTGAGTAGTTCACCACTTATATGTTAGGCTAGCAGTCTTTGTTTTTATTTTAATACATATTAGTTGGTTCACAGAAGGACAAACTAGAATCTATGACTGATAATTATTTAATTACATTTCCCTTAATGACAATCCTTTCCCGTATCCAATCCACGTGAGGTACATTCAGAGATTCACCCAGTCAATCACAGGCCCTCATTACTAAGAGCGGACGACACTAATTTAATCACATGCTGTGAATTCAGCCGATCGAGGACAGTAGATGCGTCGTGTTCTGACATGAATTTTAGATGTGTGTGTTTTTACCATGGTAGATATCCTGCAGGGAGCCTCCACCGCAGTACTCCATGCAGATCCACAGCTTGGTGTTTCTAAAGAGAGACACTCAGCTTTTATTTGACATGTCTGACATGCGTGCTGCTCTCTGTGGCTGAACAGCTGTGCAGGCATTGGTTAAAAACAAGTACTGCGTTTAAGAAGGAAGCAGACAGGCCTTAATATAATGAAGTCAATGCATTTACTCCCACAAGCACACAGTATCATGCATGAGCTGGTGGGCCAACAATGTAACTAAGCAGTTGAAGGAGTGGGAGAGGAATTCAGCGCGTGCAAGACAAAAGTCAAATTCCACATATTTCAGTCCACCAACAATCCGAGGAATTCCACACATCAGAAAACACCCAGCACCTGTGGTAGCTCCCAAAGTAGGCCACGATGTTTTTGTGCTTGCACTCCTTCATCATGGTAATCTCCTGCTGGATGGGGGTGATGTCATCACCTGAGCACAGACAGCACAGCGAGGGTTTACTGACTCATGACAGCTAACTTCACACAGTTACAGAACAGCAAAACATAGCTAGACAACTGGGAGGACTGGTAGCTTCTCCATGGAGCAAGGGATGTAGTGAATCTGGGAAATTCTTTTAGTGGAAAAAAATACTGCACACCCACGTGGTGCTCAGTGTTATCAGCTGTGTTGGATACAGTGAAATCAGGTCTGTTTTTTACAACTACTCAAATGGCACTATTAGTTATTCAAGGATAGGTTCACTTTTTTTCATTTCTAAGCTAGAAAAGGACTCAATCCGTTCCTTATATCATTCCAGTATAACCCATATACTGGACAATATATACGGGACAAATCCAAAAGAAAATCTTTGTAGTGCAAAACACCTTCCTTTAAAAAGAAGTCCATGAAAGCAAAGATGGCAGTAACAAAGACTTACACAAAGCTCCATACAGCATTACCACTTTGACTCTTTAGTACTTTCTATGTGAACACAGCAGACTTCTAATAATCGTAGTTATCAGGCCTTTCGTCATTCAATAATCGAAGTGACTAGTAAAAAATGATTAAAATGAACTCACAATTATAAAAAAAAAAATATAATAGATAGTTATAAGCGCCTCTGTGAACAGAGCAATAACATCACAGTTAGCAACATGTGTGACAAAGCAATATAATAAGCCATTGCTTGATTGCTTAATCCTGTTGTTGCTGTGCTGTAAACTGTAAAACAGCTGATGTGACCCTGAGTAATATTATTTGCAAGTTTCACTGAAACTGACCAATACTGGGAACTATGGACGTTGAATGGACACCTTACTGTGCACTTCCTGTGCTGTGTTTGGGCTTTTAACACACCTGAGTCGAGCTTGACAATCTTGATAGCTGCCAGTTCAGACGTCCTGATGTTTCGAGCCTGAAAGGAAAGCAAAATAGTCTTTATAATAAATAACATATAAGATAAAAGGATACGCAGGTAACTGCACCCAAAAGAAGCACAGTGGCCTGTGTTTGTATAGTGCTTTACTAGTCCCTAAGGACCCCAAAGCGCTTTACACATCCAGTCATCCACACATTCACACACTAGTGACGGTAAGCTACAGTGTAGCCACAGCCACCCTGGGGCGCACTGACAAGAGGCGAGGCTGCCGGACACTAACGCCACCGGGCCCTCTGACCACCACCAGTAGGGAGCAGGTGAAGTGTCTTGCCCAAGGACACAACGACCGAGACTGTCGGAGACGGGGCTTGAACCAGCAACCTTCCGATTACAAGGCGAACTCCCAACTCGTGAGCCACGATCGCCTGCCCGGCCTATTTGGCCAAAAAGCAGAAAGTAGCTTACAGAAAACTGAAGTAAGACAAGACTTTATACGTTTTACAGAGTGAGTGTGTATGTTTGTAACAATCCAAACCAATCTGGACGCTGCAATAACAGACAGCACACTCATACACACAGAGTCAAACACATCCTTCAGTGGCTTCGGCAGAGATGGAAAAATATCCAGAGTACATCTTGTCAAGTGGTTAACTGCTTCATTCAGCAGCAAGAAGACTGTTTCACATTCCTAAATGTGGGCAGTGATGAAGGAATATGGGATGCCCGATAGTGTTATTAGAATGGTTCAGTTTAGTGGGAAAGCTGTTGCCTTTTAAACTGGTTCAACAAGGAATGTGAAAACAAAGCAGTAGTTCTGAAATGGGAACATTTTAAATCCAAATGACAAAGCATGAGTAACAATTGTCAGTACCCATATTATACCAAGATGATTATTTCTTGCTACTTTGTTTCCACTACAGCACAAAGTCATGATGATTCTTAATGAATTATGTGTTGAACTGATTTGGGGGACAAACCGTGACGTAACACAAAGGTGTCCAAAAGCAAAGTGAATGGCAGCTTGGATGTGGCTGACCTTAGTATCACTTAAAATCCTTTTTATTAAATGTGTTGGGAAACACTTTGGGTTAGGGGCAATGAGGCCGTTTGGTCCAAGTTGAAAGGAGAGGTCGGTCTGGTGTCCCTAACACACCTAACATAAACAAGAATCATGTATGCACAAAGCAAATTTATAGTATAATATATGAAAACAATAATGGGGGTTGTAATGTCATGCTCACTCATCCCAAAAGGTTGATTCTGGTCATCTGAAAGTTTTCAGTGGGAGAAACATTTACATCCACACACAGCAGAGCCACCTCGTCAGGCCAGGACTCTGCAGTCTATTTACACCTACAGGCCAGTGACACTCTTTCAATGATGAGGATGTAACATCCTGGACAGGGAGGAACGCTGGTTTGAGGGCGGAGTCAAGGAGCCCATTTACGTGAAAAGGGAAAGACCATCTCTGAATCGAGGAGGGGGCCTAAGGGTACATCTGTCACCATCTTACATGCTGTGATGGCAGCCATTCCCCAACTCTCTGTGAATGGTACTCATGGCCATTAATCTGTGGTTGTTGATTAATGGTCATGACAAGGAAGGAACTGACATCACAGCCAGCCATTGTTCTCCAGTTTCAGTCATTATGCAAATGTGCTGTTGATAAGATTTCGGGGAAACCTGCAGTCAGCTGAGACTGAAGTCACCTGGATGACGAAACGTTTCTCCCACTGAGATGAACAGAATCAACCTTTGGGAATAACGAAGGTTTAACACAGTATAAATGTTTTAAATATATGAATGTTTTTGGATGGATTTTAATAAATGTTCTTTATGTGTTTTGATGTGTTTTGAGAGTTGAGCTAGTTACAGTCTGGAAGGACAAGTTCAGAGAACAGGCCCAAGTTTCAGTCACCAGAAGAAAATCCAGGTGTGGAGAGGTGAAGAAGTCGTTTAGAATAAAGGTTTTATTTGCTAGTGACCTAGCATTAACCAGACCCAGCCTGTCAAAAACAGGGTTGATGTCTGGCTGGGACGCACGATTGATGGGATAAAGAATCTGGTGATCAGAATCAGAATGCTTTATTAAACAAAGCGCGCTGTGTGTAGTTGCTGCTCCTCAGGAAAAGTTTCACTTTTGTTCATTGGAGAACAAAACTTCTCTCAATCCACGTTTGAGAGAAAACTATTTAAACAAACACTCCGTGAATAAGGAGAAAAAAGCTGAAGCAACTGAACGTGCTGCATGGCAGTTGAGATATGTGCACCAAAGACTCCACCTCTGTGAAGATGGGGCGATAGATGCCATGAGAGCTGGACAGTAAGATGCAGAAGCACAGGTGTGGTCCATCGGTGAGTCAGTTCCAGGGATCGCCAAGAGACAACCCGAGGTCCAGGGAAAGTTTGTTCAGAAGAACGTGGGGATCAGTTATCGGAGACGCAGCCATGCAGTTTTTAAACACACTGCTCCGTTTCCCCGTCTCCTGTGGCATTTCTTCCTGGGAGGAAGGCAAGGTGGGCCTTGGTGAAGGAGGATTGGTGCGCTCTACAGACAGGTGGGATACAATACTCCTGACATCCTGGGACCAGTCGCTCTTCAACAGTGGCTCTGATGCTGATGAAGTCATAAACCAGGACAATGGAGACATTTTTTAAGAAAACAGATGTCAATAAAGCAATCACAAACAGAGCAGGTAAGCCACACACACCGGCGCCATCTATCCACCATCCAGCAGATATCAAGAAATCCTCCCAATAGCTGGAATAAGCTGACTGAAAGAGGATGGCTGTAGTGACAGATGTAGCTTTACTGAGTGATGAAGAAAGAACACGAGAACCTCGAGAAATATCAAGGGCTGAGAGAGAAATTCAAGAAGATGTGGAGGGTGAAGACAACAATGGTCCCTGTGGTAATCAGAGCACTCGGGGCAAAGACCCCCAAGCTGAGCGAGTGCCTCCAGCCGATCCCAGAAACATCATCCCAGATCTCTGTCCACACAGTCCTCAGGACCCTCAAGCTCTCGGTCCTCTAGCAGAGGAAGTGCAGCCGACGCTGATGCTCCTACTATGTTATAATTACACTTAACCAACATAACAATTTAACAGATTTTAACAGAAAGAAACTTTCAGCACAACCAAGCAAGAGATTAATAATAACTAATGATTAAATGCACCGTGGGGTATAAACACATAATTAGTAAAAAGGTGGGTGAGGACAAAACACAGGAGCCTACATCTATTACAGTGAATCTAAGGGAGGATTCAGGGTTACCTGATCCAGCTCTCACTATATGCTTTATAAAAAACAAACATTTTAAGCCGAATATTGAACGTTTTGTGGTTTTGAAAGCCTGAGGTAGATTCTCACAGCCGATGTCAAGCTGCTCCGAACACCAGACGAGGTGTCTGTTTGGGAAATCCAAACTGGAAGCTGGTTCCACAGAAGAGGGGCCTGAAAGCAACTCTGTCCCTCCCATTCTACTTGCAAATAAGAGGTCTATTGGAGTGATATGGTACTACAAGATATATATTGTAAGGTAGATCGTACAATAATAGATACAGAGAAAAACCCAACAATCACATGACCCCCTATGAGCAAGCACTTTGGCGACAGTGGGAAGGAAAAACTCCCTTTTAACAGGAAGAAACCTCCGGCAGAACCAGGCTCAGGGAGGGGCGGGGCCATCTGCTGCGACCGATTGGGGTGAGAGAAGGAAGACAGAATAAAGACATGCTGTGGAAGAGAGACAGAGATTAATAACAAGTATGATTCAATGCAGAGAGGTCTATTAATACATAGTGAGTGAAGAAGAATCACCCAGTGCATCATGGGAATCCCCAGCAGCCTATGTCTATTGCAGCATAATTAAGGGAGGATTCAGGGTCACCTGGTCCAGCCCTAACTATATGCTTTAGCAAAAAGGAAAGTTTGAAGCCTAATCTTGAAAGTAGAGATAGTGTCTGTCTCCCGAATCCAAACTGGAAGCTGGTTCCACAGAAGAGGGGCCTGAAAACTGAAGGCTCTGCCTCCCATTCTACTTTTAAATACTCTAGGAACAACAAGTAGGCCTGCAGAGCGAGAGCGAAGTGCTCTAATAGGGTGATATGGTACTACAAGGTCATTAAGATAAGATGGGGCCTGATTATTTAAGACCTTGTATGTGAGGAGCAGGATTTTGAATTCTGGATTTAACAGGAAGCCAATGAAGGGAAGCCAAAACAGGAGAAATCTGCTCTCTCTTTCTAGTCCCTGTCAGGACTCTTGCTGCAGCATTTTGGATTAGCTGAAGGCTTTTCAGGGAGTTTTTTGGACATCCTGATAATAATGAATTACAGTCGTCCAGCCTGGAAGTAATAAATGCATGAACTAGAATAGGTGAGAATAAGGAAGGGAACTTGTATGTTAGAACTTTGTTTTTCTAAAACCAACAACAGCACAAGCATGAGTGGCCCACAGACAAGCTGTACCACATATATTTTGCACTGCCTCCCTTTGACCACATAGCTCTCTGCACCAGACGGGCAGTCCCTCATCTGCCTGCAGACTACAAATATCTCTGCAGGACCACAAGTCCACTTTTCTCCTCTCTCTGCCCATTTGTCAAAGTCGGGCAGTATTTCACAGAAGACTCACACCTCTGCTCTTGTGACCCTTACTGTCCTACATGATGTGCCAAACTATGGGCACTCTTCAACAGATGCACCTCGTTCTCAAGTGAAAAAAGTGTCAATGAGAGATTAACTTGAGAAGGAGATGTACATGTAGTGTCAACCCACAGAGCGCCAGAAATACAGTAGCGTCATATGCGTCACATGCGTACCAACGCTGTGGCAGAAAGCAGTTTTGTGGTTTTGACAGCCTGGGTGAGATGCATTCAGCTGGCATAAAGCTGCTCTGTACACCAGACCAGACATATTGTGTTGTGCACAACAAAGATCAATGGTCCCGCGTTATTTAACACGGGGCCAACAGAAGCCAAACTATCAAAAGCGGTCATGGTTAGGAAACTACTGAGGTCCCAGGTGGTGGTAGT